CTGGGCCTGGGCTCTTCTTTGTAGGTAAGGCCTTAATTACACTTTTAATTTCATTAATAGACATTGGGTTATTCAGCAGTTTTACATCCTCTTGACCTAGCTTTGGTTCTTCATATATTTCTAGGAATCTGTCTATTTCTTCTGTGTTATGAAACCTTTGTAGAGGTTTTCGAAGGTGTTGATGATCTTCTGTATTTCGAAGGTGTTGATGGTAGTTGTTGATTATCTTGTATATTTCTATAGATTCTGTAGTGATTTCACCTTTTTCATTTCTTATTGCATGAATGTGAGCTTTTTCTTCCCTTTTTAAAATAAGGTTGGCTAGGGGCTTATCAATTTTATTTATTCTTTCAAAGAACCAACTCTGATTCATTGATTCTTTGGATTGTTTCCTTAGTCTCTATTGCGTTGATTTCTGCTCTGATTTTTATAATTTCCTCTCTTCTTTTGGCTTTGCGCTTGAATTGTTCTTTTTCTAGCTGTTTGAGGTGTCGCATCAGGTTATTTATTTTTATTCGTTCTGTTTTCCTGATGTTGGAACTCAGTGCAATAAATTTTCCTCTGAGGATGGCTTTCATTGCATCCCACAGATTCTGGTAAGTTGTATTTGTATATTCATTTTCCTGTATGTATTGTTTAATTCCTTCTTTAATTTCCCCTGTGATCCACTGATTACTCAAGAGTGTGTTATTCAGTTTCCATGTGTTTGTGTGATTTTTGCAGTATCTTTTATCATTAATTTCTGATTTCAAAGCCCTATGATCTGATAACATGCAAGGGATAATTTCAACTTTTTGCATTTATTTAAATATGTTCTGTGAGCTAATACATATTCTGTTTTAGAGAATGACCCATGTACTGCTGAGAAAAATGTATATTCTGATGTTGTTGGGTGTTACACTCTGTATATGTGTATCAAGTCCATTTGTTCACATGTGTGATTCAGTTCTGTTATTTCTTTGCTTGTTTTCTGCTTTGTTGATCTGTCCCTTGGTGTCAATGGTGTGTTAAGGTCTCCTGTTACAATTGTGTTACTGATAATTGGATTTTTCATTTCTGTTGATACTTGTTTTATATAACTGGGTACTCTAGAATTTGGTGCATAGATATTTAAGATAGTTACCTTTTCCTCTTGAAATTTCCCCTAACGAGTATGTTCTTTGTCTCTTGTGCTCATTACTGGTTTTAAGTTCACAGTGTCTGCAAATAGAATGGCTACTCTTGCTTTTTTCAGGGGTTCCTGTTGCATGAAGTATTGTTTTCCATCCTTTGACTTTCAGTCTGTGGGTATCCTTTTGGGTTAGATGGGTTTCTTGTAGACAACATATGGTTAGATTTTGTTTCTTGATCCATTCTGCCAATCTGTTTCTTTTAATTGTACATTGAGACCACTTACATTAATGGTTAAAACTGTTATATGTTGTTTTATTGCTGACATGTTATCTTTCTGCTGTTGCATCTTTATCTTTCTGTTCCGTTTAATTATCTGCTTTGCTTAGTGGTTTTTTTTCGTAAGTGTTTACCTGGGATATTATTTCGAGTTTGAATTCCTTTAAAGCTTCCCGGAGTTGCTTGTTTATTTCAGTTGCTATTATGTCCGATATTTGAGATGTATGGCATATATTTTCTTCTATATACATCGCTCCTAAGGTTTTTTGGGATGGGCTGGAGGTTTGAGATTGTAATTTGGTCTTTTGTTTTGTCATTTTCCTAAGTGTTTTTTCCTAAGACAGCTTAGATAAGCTGTCTTTCAGTATTCTTTGCAGGGTTGGCTTGGTGATCATAAAGTTTTTCAACTGTTCTTTGTCATGGAAGTATCTTGTTTCACCATCGATTTTGAAGGACAGTTTTTCAGTGTACATCAGTCTAGGTTGGAAATCATTTTCCTTTAGGATCTGGAATACTTTGCTCCATGCTGTTGTCGTTAGTGTTTGTACTGAGAAGTCTGCTGTGATTCTGATAGGTTTTCCTGTATAAGTGATCTGTCTTTTCTCTCTGACAACTTTTAATATTCTATTCTTCTGTTGGATTTCTAGGATGGTGATTATTATATGTCTGGCTCTAGTTTTATTTTGGTTATGACTTTTTGGATTTTTATATGCTTCACTGAACCTGTTGGTCGGTTTCCGATACCTTGCTTGGGAAATTTTCAGCTATTACTTCTCTAAATATCCTCTTGACATCCTTTATGTCGTCCCCTTCTTTTTCTTTGAACCCTATCAATCTTATGTTGTTTTTCTTTGTGTCATCTTGCAGTTGTTGAATTGTTATTTTCTGATTCTTTGTTATTTTTAAAAGATCTTTCCTTTCCTGTTCACCACCTGCCATCTTGTCTTCAAGGTCTGAAATTCTATCTTCAGTTTCATTGAGGCGCCTTTTATAGCTTTCAGTGGAGTTTTTGATTTCCTGTATATCTCTGTGCATCTGTTTTATGTATTCTGTTTGTTTCTTATATTGCTCATCTAGGGATTATATCTTTTTTTTTATTTCCTCCAATTTTTTAACTGTGTTTTCTTTGGAGATGTTCAGCATCTCTTTCTTTTTTTATCATTTCTTCTTTTACCTGGGAGAATATTTCGAGTTTGAATTCCTTTAAAGCTTCCCGCATCTGCTTATTTATTTCAGTTGCTATTATGTCCAATATTTGAGTTGTATGGCGTATATTTTCTTCTATATACATCGCTCCTAAAGTTTCTTGGGATGGGCTGGAGGTTTGAGATTGTAATTTGGTCTTTTGTTTTGTCGTTTTCCTATATTTCTGTGTTTCAAGTGCTTCAAGTGTTGTTCAAAAGCTTCCTCAGGGTCTGTTGGAAATCCACTTGTGTGCCCAAAGCTCCTAGAACTCTGGCACCCAGTTCCTCCAGGCCACCGGGCCTCTGGAACCAGTGGCGCTCGCCTGCTAGCTTAGAACTCTGCAGTTCTCCAAGCCCACAGGGAGGCGGATGCAGGTGCCCCAGACCTGCCTAGCTGTTCCAGTGCACCCAGAATGTGCAAGGGTCCCAAACACTCTGGGCTCCCGGGATTGTGGCCACCCACCTGCTTGCTTAGAACTCCACAGTTCTCCAAGCACAGCCGGAATGGGGAGGCAGATGCAGGTGCCTCAGACCCGCCTACCTGTTCCAGTCTTCTTTGAAGTTCTTAAAAACTCAGAAGTATAAGTGTTAAGCAATTCTGGATCTCATTGGTCTCATTTTTGGCTAAAAATACAACCATACTGTCTATGAGTAAGACATTTCAGATTCCTGCTCACCGGATTACTTTTTCTGGTGTCTTAATCTGTCATATGAATCAAAACAAAAACAGTGGGCTCTTGAAAATACAGACATTAAACAATTAACAAATTGTTTAAGTCCCATGACTCCCATTGCCCTCTTTATTAACTAAATAGAGGGAAAGCAGCAGATATGCAGTATTCTTAGCCACACCAACAGGACAGACAGCAATAGCAAAATAAAAAAGCTCAGTTTCTATTACCCAAGGAAGCTCCCAAGGCAACTGCTTGCCAACTTGTGTAAGAGTCAGATGGGGGCCTTGGACTAATCTACTAGCGAGACTCATTTATTTTTGCTTGTAAGCTCTAATCACTGGCTGTTGAGCTCTCTAAATCTCGAGCTGGGAGAATTGTTAAGAGCTGACTGGAAAAAACGGATTACACAAAATAAATCCTTATAGATACAAAACCAACACTAGAAAAACCATGACTATCGCGCTTTGTTTTGTTGGACTATGAAATATAGGATTTTGCTTAGAAAATGCTTTGATACATATAAATAGTAACAAGGCGCTGGCAGATGCAACAGGCTTTATGTATGATATGAGTGAATAGAAAACAGATTTTTAAGCAGAGAGAGAACCATCTCATTAAGTAGGTTTTTAATGACTCTCTATGGCCAAATTTATCTCATTTTAGTTAATGATTTCCCAGATGAGCTTAATCTTTCTGCTGTCTTTCATACTTCCCTCTAAATGCTGAAAGATTGGCTCTGGTCCATACCTCTCAAGCAAGAAATTGGAGGAAGAGCTCATTAGTATAAAAAACCTAAAAATTTAAAGAGGGATAGTCGTACCCTGACTAATTTGTTTAACTAAATCATCCTAATTGCTGTAAATACTTTTGTAAATATTCGCCCCATCGTTGTCAGATTAATCCTGAAACAGTTCTTTGAGTAAGCATAAACAGAATATAGTAACTATAATCTGAATTAAACAAATGCTTTCTCAGGAATTTTGGTTCTGAGAAGTGAAAGTAAAAATTAAAACTGAGTGAGATTTTTCCCCATCTTATTAATAAAAAAGACTCAAAATTTGGCATAGCTGGCTTATTACAATAAAAGTAAGAAACAAAACTAAAAATCTCTGTATGGGACAGACACACAGTCAGGCCTGGGTACTTGTGTTCTAGACATAGAAATTACCCAACTCGAATGAAACAATTTTCATATTCATCCAATCAGTTTTCTGTGGAGTATAGACAAGTACCTTAGAGGCCACCTACTTCTCTCAGCACTGTGGCAAATGTTTTTTGGGGACAGTAGAGCTCTCACTGAGAAATCTTGGGTTTCAAAGAGGTTTGTCCCAAACAGACATTATAATTTTTAAGAATTTATTGTAGTAAAAGATGCATTGCTAATAATCTACACTCACTTCTAACATACTTAATCATTCTTGCCACTTTATGAAGAAGTTCTGGAAGTCCTCTTTCCTGAGTGTCTTTAGTAGTTTGCTTCAGCAGCATGTATACTGAGTGTCTTTAGTTGTGCTATTGTGGTTGCCTCCATGTCCTGAATATATTTGAAACATTTTTAAAGGTCTCTATTTTTTTAAATTTTAATGTTTATAAGTACATCTTTGTAGGACATAATGATTACATACATTGTGGGGAGTTGGTACATATACATAACACATTTTAATTCTTCATCTCCTTTCCCTCTTCCACCATCTCTTGGTCCCCTTCCCTTTTGCAAAAGATCTATTTTAAATATTTTTGCCCTTTCACTTAGATCTCCCACCTCCTGCAACCCGAGAAAGACCACCAGGATGCAAAACAGTATTTGTGGGCGGTCTGCCTGAAAACGGAACAGAGCAGATCATTGTGGAAGTGTTCGAACAGTGTGGAGAGATCATTGCTATCCGGAAAAGCAAAAAGAACTTCTGTCACATTCGCTTTGCTGAGGAGTACATGGTGGACAAAGCCCTTTATCTATCTGGTAGGTGTTTAGATGTAGGAATTGTGCTCACTGGACACAATGCAGAAATTGAGAATCTGAGTATTTGCATTTGTGGTAACTAAAGTATAGCCTTAATGTTATCCTTTTTTGCCTTCAGAGTTGGAAAATGCATGTTACTTCCCATCTCCATCCTTTAAAGTTCCTCAGTAGCTCGTAACTATAAGATGACTCCGGACTCTAAACATGTAACATCTAAAAGCCTTGATTATCTGCTCTGCCTCTTAGCATTATCTCTCAGTTCTTTCTGTACACCTGGTACCATGTACCAACCACACTGAGTAAATTTTAGTTCCAGAATGTGCCATGGTGTTTTATGCTTTTCCCTCTGACTAGAATTAGCTTTCCTACCCCTACCCACCACACACAAATATCACAGATGTGTCCATCCTATGGACCATGGGTTAGACCTACCTTCCTTGCCCTGGGCCGTGGTGAGAAAAGAGGAATTGTCCTGGGCTGCATATAAAATAAATATTATAGTTAATGTATATAAGTAACCAAACTTCCTTCACTTTTTATATTTTCATTTTAATAGAGGCACATCCAACCTGCAAGTTGGATGCCTTATACTACAACTCAAGCGCAAGGTTCCCTGAAAAGTTTTCTATCTTACCTTTTCCCTGTATCTCAGGTTGATTTAAGCACCCTCCCCAAGTGCCTCTGCAGCATCTGGTACTTCCTCCTGACATGACATCAGTTATAACAGGTTAGAGCTGACTGTTTTTTCATCCAGAGTATGAACTCCTCCATGGCAAGGACTGGGTTTTATTTAACTTTGAATCCCCGATACCTAGCACATGACCTAACACAAAAGTTAGATACGCAAAAGATAGTTACAGATGTATCTTGGTTTGTACTGTTCTGTGAGAACAAAACACCTGAGCCTGAGTAGATAACGAAAGGAAGTTTATTTGTCACCATTTCTAAAGCTGAGAAGCCCATGGGGATCAAACTGGAACATGTGCAGCTGATGAGGGCCTTCTTTCTAAACTATAACATAACAGAGGGCATCACGTGTTGAAACAGAGCAAGTGTACTAGCTTGGGACTATCTTCCCCATCTTATAAAGGCACTGATGCCATGATGAGACTCTAATACCATGACTTCATCTAATCCTAATTACATTACAAAGGCCCCACACCCAAACCATTAACATGAATTGGAAATTAAGTGTCCAACATTAAGCTGTTGGAAGACACATTCAAACCATAGAAGTAAGTCAAATATTTATTGACTGCTGTGCAAAATACTAAGTTACTGGACATACAGCAAAGACTGAGATTTCCAGCCACATTACATTCTGGATATTACATTCTGGCAATAATAAAATGTGATATATATGTAAATAAAAAAGTTATTATCAGGTACTGGTAAGTGCTGTGAAGAAGATAAAAAGAATAATGTTACTGGAAGCATTAGGAAAGGAACTTTTCTTTGACATTTGAACCAAGACCTGAATAATGTCAAAGGTGATTACCATATAAACATCTTGGGGATATCTCATTCTAAAATAAGGAGCAGCGAACCAAAGGCCCTGATGCACAAATAAACTTAGCATGTTTCAGCAGAGGATAGAAAATTAGCATGGGACTTATGAACTATGATCACATGTTGAAATCCACTGGAGCATTTTCAGGGTTGAACTGATGTGATCTAATTTACATTTTAGGAATATTACTTCTGGGTAGGAAATAGACAGGTATAGCAAGGGTAATGACTGGGAAATAATTGAACTAACTGTAACATTGGCCTGATGAAGAAGCAATAATGATTTATATAGTATTGTGGAGTGAAGCCAGTAAGACCTACTTTCCATGAAATCTACTCATGGTGGAAGTTCAAATTTGTTTTTTTTTTTTATTTTAAAGAGATTAAGACAAAAAGGACATAACAAAGCAGATCAGATCAGAACAATGCAAGTAACACAGCATTTTACCACAAGACAACCCATAATTAACAGTAACTACCATAATGTCTCTTTCTTTAAATAGTTGAGCATAACTTCATATACGATAGTATCAAGCATAACAAAGAGTATAAAACCATACAAGAGAATGAAAGCATTACAGGGCTTTCAGAACCAAATAGCAGAGTGGAAGTTCAAATTTGGAGTGGGGCAAGGAATTATAATTGGAAAGATTTCTGATGAGTACCATAAAGTGAAGCCACATGCCTTTTGGTTTGATTTGAAGTCAAAGTTTCATGGTTTCATCATCTTTTGTATATTTTGAATTGATACTGTTTTTATGGGGCAGTGGACAGATAACCTAGAACAAAGAACACAGAGTAATTGGAAAAGCCATAGAACAATTAAGTACTTCTTCACCTGAGATGGTTTGGGAAAACTGAGTTAAAATGCTAGATATGTTAGGACACTAGCATCTTCATTCATGCAATAGGCACTCTTTGAATATCTCCTTTGTGTAAACTATTGTGCTAGATGCTGTGAAGAGGAAAAAATGAATAAAACCCAGTACTTCCCCTTAGTAAATTTAGTATACAGTAGTACATTCATTTATTAAAGAAACATTTACTCAGCAGCAGGCATTACTCAAAACACTGATAAGATGCACTCTCTACTAACAATAATGATTGATAGCTATAAGTGCCATTAGGGAGGCAGAGGGGAGAAAGAGAGAATATGAATATTTCAGACTCTTTAGGTATTAAGAAAAGTAGCATTTGCATCAAGTCCTTGACAAATAGGAAGCATTTGCCTTTAGACAGTGGGGCATAGAAACAGCATGAGCAAAGTTACAAAGGTGGAAGGTTTTGGCAAGCATTCAGGAGACAGCAAGTGGTGGTTTGTGTACTAAATAGACATGAAAGGAGGAGGAAAAACATTTGTTAGCGTACTTGGAAAGGTTTAACAGTTGAGTCTTTACCCAACTAATGAAGAGGGAATTGTTGAAGAAATTTTTGAACAAGGAAGATGGTTGTTTCTGAAAGATTAATCTGACAGCTCTGTGTAAAAACTGACTAGAGGAGAGAAGATCAATTGGTTATAATAGGTCAAGGTAAAGGCAATGGGGATTTGAGAAAGCAGGCTGGTAACATGGGTTAGAAGAGGAGGAGGTAGATGTAGTTTACTCTTATTTTAGTTCTAAGCGCTGGAGAATCTAACTACTGAAGATCAGACAGCAGTTAGCAACAATAGCACAGCACTCCACAATAGACTATTTCAATAAGCATGTAAAGGTGTTGAAAAGCCCTGAACAGTTATACATAAAAGACAGCATACTGCTCAGGAAGCACCCATCTAAACATCACTAAAATGAGCTCTCTGTTAACAACCACCTTGTGGAAACATTCTCAGGGCTGCCAAAGGAAAGAGGGGATAGCAATCGATGCTGTGAAAATAGCTAAATTTTGCCTTTTAAATTTGAATCTACCCCCTTGGAAGTTCACAATTTCTTGAAATCTCCAGATTGGGATGGCTGATGTCTCATATCATAGAAAAAAAATGCTTAAAATGATAAAAATCCTTTAGAAAATGATCCAGAAAAAAGTAGAAAGTATTATCTTTCTTTGTTGGCAATGAAGCACCTTTGAGAGTTGGCACTGTGCACAGCACACCCATCCCAGAGCCCCATCATGTATTTTGTATAATTTACATAGAGGTGTCCTGTCATAGTCTCTTTTGTTTCTCTCCACAGTCCCAAGTGAATAGGAAAAGTAGCCTTTTGTAGACCCATTTCTCTGATGTTTCAGGTGATCGGATACAATGAATGGGTGTACAATTACATTGCAAACTACAAAGGACCCTGGAAAGTTTGCTCATTAAATATGTTTCTTTTTCCTCTTTTTCTCCCCAGTAATGGGGATTAAACCCAGGGCTTTCACACTGAGCTACGTCTCTAGCCCTTTATGAGACAGGGTCTTGCTAAGTTGCCAAGGTGGGACTTGAACTTGTAATTGGCCTCTCAAGTTCTGAGATTGCAGATGTGTGCTACCATGCCCAGCTATCCTTATTTCTAAAAAATGTATTTTAGTTTTAGTGTTTTTAGGCATTGTTCTTTATAGCAGCTATGTGATATACAATAATTCACATGCAATGACCTTCATATAGATTAGACATAAAATTAAATATATTTCATACAGCTGTGAAACCGTCACCAACAATCAGTGACACAGCAGTCAAAATCATGACTATGCTAGGCACTCCCAAAGGTTCCTTCCTGGATCTTTTGTAATCCCTTCTTCCTATACCTCTCCACTTCCTTGTCAGACAACCACTTATCTGTCCTCTAACAGAATACTGTTCAGGAGTTTCAGGAATTTCTTGTACATGGAATCATACATTATGTATAATCTTCCTTTCTCTATATAGATCCAGATTTCTATTTAGTCTCATTTTCCCTATACCTGAATTTTCTGTAACATTTTCTGTGGTATAAATCTCCTGTTGAACCCTTTCAGCATTTGCATGTGTCAGAAAAATTGATTTCACCTTTCTTTTTGAAAGATATTTTTTCTGGATATAGATTTCTAGGTTCACAGCTTTTCTGTCTCCTCTCTCTCAAGTCTTGTTCTGTTAGCTTTTTCTTTGCATTGTTTCTAATAATACATACGATGTTTGTCCTTATCTTTGTTTCTCTGTACATAATACCGTATGTCTTTCATCCATAGCTGCCTGCCTGCCTTTAAGATACTCTCTTTACTAGCAGTGTTGAGCAATTCAGCTATCATGTACCTTGGTGTAATTTTCTTTCATGTTTCTTGTGCTTGAAGTTCATTATTTCCTGAATCTGTGAGTTTTAATCATATTTGGAGATTTTGTCCCTTTATTTCTTGAAATGTTGTTTTTTTTTTTTTTCTGTTTCTTCCCCCTCTCCTCTCTTTTCAGGACACCAGTAGGAATGTATTGAGCCTCTTAAAAGTTTTCTCACAGCCTACTTCTTCATGTTTTTTACCTTTTCTCCTGTCTGGTGCTTGGAATTTTTGTTTTTGTTGTTTTGGGTTTTTTTAATAGTTTGTAATGCTGTGTTTTCAATTTTTTTTTTTATTTTGTAATATCCAATTTGAAATTTGTCCTAGCCACTGATTTTTCCCTTCAACTGAGATATTAGACATAATCATGTCAGGCCTTCTGCAGATCCCTGAAGTTCTTTCTCTGAGTATTTCTCTGTTAGGAACTCCATTGCCATAGTCTCTCCTACTCACCTTGGGATGAATACTACGCTCTGCCCAAGTTTCTCTCCCTGTAGTAAGGCATGGAAACCCTCTCTAAGCTGGGTCAATCATGGTGATCAATTCATTTGCTTCTTGTCTGTCAATGATCACTGACTTCATTGTCTAATGCAACACACAACACATTTAGAGTCTAACATCCTAGATTAAAACTCAAGTTCTGCTGTTTGCCAGTTGTTTGACCCAGAGGAAGCTACTTGACCTTTATAACTTCCTTGATGCTCAGTTTTTCTCTTTAGTAAAATGTTGACCCTGCAAGCCTTTGCTGAGAATAAAATGTGTATGTGAGTCTCTGGCTCAGCTACTAAAACTTAACAAGTACTCAACTGTTTTCTCAGTTTTTGTTAAAACTTAGGAATAAGTATAGCTACCATAAAAGGTGGAGGGAGGGAATTAAATTCTGATTTTCTTAATCCCACTCTCATATCACTATTACAGTCACACAAACTTTAAGTATCTCAAATTATATGCCATCTGGGTTATATACCACTCCCCCTCATACCTAATCTTTCTCCCAGAAAAAAAATTGTCCAGAATTTCCAAGTGCAGCTAGGAAACAATTTTAGACACTGAAATGCTAACTTAATACTTTAAATTTTACCAAGATTCTTCATGATGGCATGACTGATACTCTTGAAGTTACTCAAAAACACCACAGCTTGAGGCCACCATTTTTGTTTTTCCTTGATGCCCATATAAGATTTATTATTGGTACCATTACCCTCATCAGATGTAAAGTGGTAGATGGAGGAATGTAACTCCTAATATCAAAACTAACCCAACCAATGGAGTAGTAAGCTGTTCTTAGCAATAAGATTATAATTTAGGTATTCTGGTGATTCAACTTGCTAGAATGAACAGAGAATTTGGGGTGATGTAGTCATGTGGTATTCCTACAACCACATCTGAAACAGTAAACTTGGAAAGTACCTTTAATTACTTACTTACTAGGCTGCTGTTTTCCTCCAAACTTAGGTTACCGAATTCGCCTGGGCTCTAGTACTGACAAGAAAGACACAGGTCGGCTCCACGTTGACTTTGCACAGGCACGAGATGACCTATACGAGTGGGAATGTAAACAGCGCATGCTAGCAAGAGAGGAGCGCCACCGGAGACGGATGGAAGAAGAGAGACTACGTCCACCATCCCCACCCCCAGTGGTGCACTACTCAGATCATGAATGCAGCATTGTTGCTGAAAAACTGAAAGGTATGGAAGGCATTTGAGCTTCCTGATTAAAAGAACCCTTTTCTTTATGGATATATAATGAATGGTGATGTTGGTAAACCCTTTGGCTTTCCCTCTTATGGATTTGAAATATTTGTGTTGTAGTCTTGCAAATTGAGAGAGGTACACACCTAATAAGAACCAGGAGATTTGTTTTTGCCACCTGTGTCTCTACTCTGCTGTTGTCACAAGGGATAGCGTTTTTCTCTCAGACACCCATTAACTAAGAAGAAATGGGTTTTTTTTTGTATTTTCTACATCAGAGAATTTTAGGTGTGATTCATAACTTGGAACTGGTATGAGGTGTGATAAAAAACTACAGTGAATGTTTAATTTTTAAATTTATTACTGCAAAAGATACATTGCTATTAATGTCCCTCAAAATGCTCACCCTTCCCCTCAAATACACTCATCATTCTTGCTACTTTCTGAGGCTGTTCTGGAAGTCCTCTTTCATGAATGTCTTTAGTTGCACTGTCATGGCTACCTCAATGTCTTGAACTGATTCAGAACATTTTCCTTTCATGGTCATTTTGACTTTTGGGAAAGAGCCAGAAGGCACATAATGTCAGATCTGGTGGATAAGGTAGATGAGAACACATCATAATGTTTTGATCAGCATGTTTTTCCATTGGTTGGCATTTGGCAGCACCATTCAAGTATTTTTGATCACACCTCATAAACACAGAGGACTTTGAGAAGTGCTTCTGAAAGTGGTAAGCATGATGAGGGATGTGTGCTTGAAACACAGGGGCATATTGTGAGTGGGATTAATAGCAATGTCTTTTACTGCACTAGTTTTTATTTTAAAATACATTATATATTTTGATCACCTCTTGTACATGTCCCTTCTTCATAGTGAATACAACTTAGGTTTGAATTCTAAGTCAGATGAGTTAATCAGAATGATACACCTTTATGTAACCCTAGGAAAATCCCCATTTTTAATGATGAGAAATGAAGGCCCAGAAAACCATCACAGTGTATTTTCTTAGATTTCTCAAAATCTTATCCACCATTTACTGGGGATTGAGTACAGTGCCTTATTATTGGTAGGCAATACTGTTCCCCTTAGCTATCTCCAACCCTTATTCATTTATTTATATATTTATGTATTTATTTATTTTAAAATGGAAAAAGAATAAAAACTGATACAGAATTTCAAAGCAAAATAATAGGAGCTTAACACTGATTAATATATTATGTATTGTTTTCTTCAAAGTAGTTGTTCAGATTATAACATATAGGCATAAAAATGATCAAATAATTGAACAATGAAAGCACAACAACTCTTTTTTTGAGAAAAGGTCTAAGTTGCTGAGTTACTCAGGCTGGACTCAAACTTGGGATCCTCTTGCCTCAACCTCCTCAGTAGCTGGTTTTACAAATGTGTACCACCACACACAAATAGAGCACATGTTTTAATCAACTTAAAAAGGCCAGTTTATTTCACACAGCAACTCTGGAGACTTCTAGACATTGCTATGTCTGAGTGCTTTTCCTGTAATTTTGATTCATTTTTGGTATTGCTCAGTTCTCAAAATCACTTTGCTAATTTAACATTAATCACTCTGTCTGATGTCTTGTCTTGGTAACTCAATCTTAGTGTCTCACTTTCTGACAATTGATTTTATTGATAGGTGCTAGTATCCCACTGATCTTATTGATGACACCAGCGCAGCTCTAATGGGATGCATTTGCCTTGCTTCTTGTTCTACCAGCTGAGCCAAATCTTGCTAATTTACTTTCTAAATAGGTCTCACCAAATTTGTTTACATCACATAACCTAAGGAAGTCACACATTTATGAAATTAAAGAATTCTTTTTGGATTGATCGCTGACTTCTTACAAATGAAAAAGAAAACGTACTCCAAAATAAATACACACATATAATAATATACAGTATTCAAAAGGCTAAAAACAATGGATAAGGTCCCAGGCCCAAGACTTGCCTATTCACATGACACCAAGCAAATTCATTTAAGTCAAAGACAGCAACAAAACAAAACAAAAAACAATTTGATTGTTGTATTGCCCTCAAGAGAAGGAAAACCTAAGCATCAGCATAAGGATCTTATACTAGTGATGAAATAAAAAGCTGCTCTAAAGATAAGGCTTACCTCCTGTTATGAATCTGTACTAAAATAAAAGGGCAACAGGCAAGAAGTTAAATTTCAGTGAGAGATACTGCCACTTGACATAAGGCTTCTTGGCCAGAGTGGCATGTAAAGCCCTATAATGGGGCTTCAGTTGGATGCTGCCTCTCAGAAGTCTGTTAACAGCAGGAATGTATAAATGACTATCTTGGGAAGCTGGACCACAAGCTTTGAAAGAGCTGGGCTACTATCCTAACATCAGAGAATAACTCCTGTCTGTGTACTTGGAGGGTTCCTCAGGCAAGAGAAAAATGATGTGAGAAATATAGAAATAAAATGAACTGCATCAAAATACTCTATGACTGTCTCCAAGTGGAAGGCCTGGGGCTGTGGATTGGATGTAAGAATGATGTTATAAAAGGTTGAAGATATAAGTGTTTATATCTAAAGAATTACCCACTTAACTCTTTGCTAAGGCTCCTTCCAAAATATAATTCTGTGGATCTAGGGAAAAGTTGCTGTCAAATTCAAATTAAACTCAGAAGAGTCTGTTTTTCCTTATTGAAATGTAAGATTGTAGAATTCTGACATTTCCTCACTGCTAATTTATAACTCTCTCTCTCTCTCTCACTGTCTCTCTCTCTCATACACACACACACACACACACACACACACACACACACACACAAAGGCATGCACACATGTATGTATGCACATAGACAGGTTAAGTAATTTGCAATACATTGAAAGTGTAATACCAGTGTAGATAGTGTTGTTGTAGTGCTAGAGACTGAACCCAGGGCCTCTTGCTTGCTAAACATTCATCCTACTAATGAGCCACATCCCAAGCTCAGAAAAATAAATCTACAAAAAGAAGAAACAGTTCTCTTTCTGAAACTCTTCATAAACCACCACTAATCAGACTACTTTTTGAGACTTTCATTCTTTCGATTTTTCTGTCTGCCTGCTACCTGCCCGTGTGTGCTTGTGCATGGCTCCTTATGCACAGCAGTTAATTAAACCACAACTTCCCAAAAGCTGTAGTTATCACCTTGATGGCATATTGGAAAAATACAGATGTGGTTACTTTTGATGGTTCTAATAAGAAACCTCTCATTTTCAGATGATTCCAAATTCTCAGAAGCAGTGCAGACCTTGCTCACCTGGATAGAGCGAGGGGAGGTGAATCGTCGTAGTGCCAACAACTTCTACTCCATGATCCAGTCAGCCAATAGCCATGTCCGTCGCCTGGTGAATGAGAAAGCTGCCCATGAGAAAGACATGGAAGAAGCCAAGGAGAAGTTCAAGCAAGCCCTGTCTGGAATTCTCATCCAATGTGAGTAATAGTTACAGTTCTACTGGAAGGGTGCAAGCCCCTTCACTCAGTCACCGCTTATTCTGTACAGGAGCCCAGGCCTCCAGGGTCGTCTGAGTCAAGGGCAAAACTGCCTTCCCTACTGCAATATCCTCTCCTTAAACTGTCAGATACCAGTGCTCCAGTTTCACAGAATGTTTGTGAGCACTTCCTATTTTCATTTTCCCTGGTGTATTAGCTCCTTAGAAATGCTGGTACTTAGACCATATCCTATACCTTCACAGCCATAGGGCTCAGTTGAAGGTTGGGTAGTTTATTGTTGAAGTTAAGATATAACATCAGCATATTAAAGCTGCTTTTTTTGCATCATTATCATCATGTAATATGCATTCTAAGAACTTTTAGTGTTAAATGTAATTATATTTCCCAAGATGATGTAATAAAAAACAAATTTTCTACTTTTACCTTTTACATTTACTTTCTTTTCTACTACTACATTTGCTGGATATGACAGAGTGAGAAGCCATTTAAATAGCTATTTTCAAAAAGAAATACCACTTTAAACATATCAAAGTTATCTTAAGTGAGATAAATAAATTCTCCAGTAAATTTTTTCTTCAGCACATTACATAATTAGATCCCCATATCTTTTCCTTAAGGAACTATATTCACCTTAAAGATAATGATTCAGTTTTATGATTTTGCTTTTAAACAATTATGTTCAACTCTTCCTATACTTTACTTTCTATGCTTGACTCCCTCGTAGTTGATGTTAAGGAGGAGTTGTTCCATCTTCCCCTTGTATTCTGGAAGTATTTATGGGCATAAATCTAGGAGGTGAAAGCACGTGTCCTCAGGACATCAGAATATGTAGAAAAGGAGAGCAGCAAATAACTTGAGAACATAAATACTAGAATCATTAGAGGGCAGGATACAAGCAAAGCTATAAAGAAAAAAATAAAACCTTCTGGATTTTCCAACTATGAACATCCAACCAGGAACAGCCATCCAAGCAGGAAGGAACTCTTTCTGTTTTTCTCAAGAGTCATACTCCCCTCTTGACCTGGTTAGGGAAAAGCCCCACAATATCTATATACATTTCCTTGTTGACATTCTAAGAGACCTTGAAATCTGCTCTCTGATATTTTACTTTAAACAGTGTTCTTCCATAAAACTTGTAGTTCTCCAGTCCACAAATTTATCTAGGTGGACTTAAACCCTACCCATATTAGGTCTTGCTTTGGAACTTCTGTTTACACATATCTAAGAACAGCAAAATGACATATTTTTCTGAAATGAAGCATTCCAACATATTTCACAGGGCTGGTTAATAAAAAGAGCTAGTGGTAGAAAATGCTGTTACAATTTGCTTCCATGCTATGCAGGGTCAGTAGTATAAAAGTAAATACATTTACTACAACTTGTACCTGTCCTGCCTGAATGAATACATACTGCCTGGATTAAAATTTGAGTCACTATTTCACCCCAACCCTTCCTTGGTTCTCTTGCTTCTTTCTGTATATTGATGTTTCTTCTTTTGAGTCCCCCTTAAAATCACAATGCTACAACACATACCCTTTTCCAAGTAAAATTCCGACCAGAGATACTGTATAACAAAAAGGTACCACAAGCTCATGCTTCTCACTTATTTCTCTTCTCTCCTTTTTTGCCATCCCTGGATGATACTCTGGCTTGATCTGACTGCTGATTTGATGCTACAGTTGAGCAGATAGTGGCTGTGTACCATTCCGCCTCCAAACAGAAGGCATGGGACCACTTCACAAAAGCCCAGCGTAAAAACATCAGCGTTTGGTGCAAACAAGCTGAGGTTGGTAACTTTTTACTCTGTTAGCTTCTCAGGGGCATAATGTCTTTCTTTAACAAGTTATTGATTTGGGGTTTAGCCAGGATTAAATAGTGCCAAGATCCCTTGGTCACAACAAGGCCCTAATGAAACACTTAAGACGTGTTCTATAGCCTGTCACTGTATACAGGCCACCTACTGTCCAAAGGGCAGTAAAAGTGCACAAGTTGTCTTGAATGCATTCTGTTGGGTAGAAATCTTAGTGGAGAATATGTAGCTTAGATAATTATAAGATTACTTCTCTAAGCTAGCTAGTCTGAAGTGCAACAATAATCACTGATTTGTGCTTCTAGTGTTAGTAGTATTAGGGCTGACATATTTATTAAAGCATCCTGACAGTTGAGTCTAGAAGCTGCCTGGTGGTATATCAGAGTGAAGAAATTTCTGAAATGCTTTTACCAAACCTGTTTAGCCATCTTTATAGGAGGTAGAGTTAAAAGTAACAGAAGACTCTGGTCTCAGATTCAGGGTGACACACACTCTCTGCCTGTGCTCAGGTAAAAATTTTGCATAACACTAGAATATGTATGACGTGAATAGATTGCTCTTCTGACTCCAACGTTAAAAACTAAGTCAATGAGGTTAGTTTCACTGATCTATCTTTGGAAATGATGTTGTGTGTATCTCAAGCTCTTCTATTCCTATGGGTAGCTTCCATACCCAGCCCTGATACATTTGATCTACATGTGTAGCAACTTTGCAGTTTCATTTCTGAGTTCTGGTAATAATCTCATTGTGTCTGTCAATACAGGTTGTCATATATATATATATATATATATATATATATATATTAGTATTTAAGTAGAATTTGTGAGACTTTTCTGTGATGTCAGGAATCAAACAGCACTTTAACTGGGCACAGTGGCACAGGCCTGTAATCCCAGCACTTTGGGAAGCTGAGGCAGGAGGATCACAAGTTTGAGCCCCACCTTGGGCAATTTAGAACGGCCTTGTCTCAAAAAAAATTAGTAAGGGCTGGAGGTATTGTTCAGTGCAAAGGCCCTGGTTTTAATACTCAGTACCACCAAAGCCAGGGTGGGGGTCGTTCATGTTAGGTAAGTTCTGTAAACAATGAGCTACTCCAATAACGCTCAATATTTACATTTATAAGGTATTTTCACATTGATTATCTCACCTAAGTGAACCTCACAACCTCACAATAGACATGGTAGAGTAAAAGGAGTATTGGACTTAGAGTCAAACATGGTTTCAAATCTCAACTCTCATAACTTCTGTAATACTGTGTATTGAACAAGTTATTCAGTCTTTCTTAGTCCCTATTTCTTTAACTATAAATTTTAGATAGTAATGTAATCACTCTTGCAAGGTTAAATGAGTTAAGAAATGTGTAAGCAGCTGGAAAAGTATAAATAATATTATTTGAGTTTATTATTAACAATTCAATAAGAGATAATGACTAGGTATAGAACCTGTTTTACATGTAAAGAAACTGAAATTCAGAAACATTAAGTGATCCACACAAAATTACACAACTAGCAAATGGCCTAGACATTATTCTCCTTCTGAGCTCTGGTGCAGAGTGCTTTGTGGTCTTGAGCCAATCTTATAACTTTTGTGTAAGCCTTTGTTTTCTAACCTTTAAAATACAGATCTTCTCTGTGTTCTTCCTAAGAATACTTGAAACAGTTTGTGTAGAACAAGTTGAAAACCATGAAAATGATTAGGAAGATAAGCCAAAACCTGTTCACAAATGTAGTCTCTGATCTCAGAGTTCTGGTATATAACAAAGGGTTCTGGATGCCACTGGAGAAATATCCCTGAAAACATCTGTCCAATGAGTGAGTAAAGTTATAAAAAGACAATAACATCTTTTTGTTTTAAGAATTAGCAGCACATAAGGAAACTGTTGTCTTAGGGTAGCACAAAACGATTTTAGAAATCTAACACTACCTCAACAAAGTCTAACATTACAATTCAAAGGTTTACTGAGCACTTTCTCTGTCCCAGGCATTATGACAAGCAGTATAGGACAAAATGATTTTTGCCCTCGGAACCAGAAGGGTAAAAAAAATGATCAAAAGGAGCAGTGGAGCTTCAAACACTAAATTTAAAGAATCTAAAATCTTCATTTCAAGAGAATAAACACTGAGTCTCTTTAAAATTGTAAAACAAAAAAGTAATACAGATTCAAGAATCTGTAGGTTGAGAATCTCTTACTCAAATTGCTTAGATCTAAAAGTGTTTTGAATTTAGAATCTTTCTTTCAGGTTTTATAGTGCTTGCATATACACAATGAGATATCCTAGGTAGGAGACCGAAGTCTAAATACAAAATTCTTTTATGTTTTATATATACATATATACACAGGCTGAAGTAATTTTATAAAAATTTCTAATGCACCTGCATCTTGATTGCAGCCTATTATGAGGTCAGGTATGGAAGTTTTACTTGTGTTGTCTTGTCAATCCTCAGAAAATTTCAGGTTTTAGGGCATTTTGGATTTCAGATCTGAGGATTAGAGATGCTCAATGTATATTCAGTTACTTCTTTTACTTCATTACATATAGACTTGTATCCCTTCTAGGGATACAAGATGCTGTCTGAACTGCACCACTCTTTAAAGAAAGTGCTGCAGGAACAATTTTGCCTTTTCCTAGGAGAAACAGAGCCCCTTGTTGGAGTCCTGACATCCAAGGCCGTGACCGTTTTATAAATTACAGTGTAGTGCATCCCATTCCGTTAATATTATTCATTTAGGCTCTATTGGTTACATCAGGCTTATTTATCTTGTGGGTCTGTACTTGAGTTTAATGACATACATAGCAAAGCAAGACAGTGAGCTAGACATTTCTCTGAATCTGTAAAGAACTTGACAGCTGCTACCCTCTTACCCAATATTGTCACAGAGCTTCCTTGGCAGAGCGATGAGGATAAAATACACAGCCAGCATGACTTGCCAAGAGTTACATGTTTCAAATTTTGCCTTGTAGACTTTGTAGAAACCCCAAAAAAATGTTTCCTGCTTACTTGACTAGATTAAATTAAGGTCTACCTTGATTACTTCAATCTTGATACGTAAAGCTGCTGCCAATAGAGGGACATATCTCACGATGTAAACCCAAAATATCTCTTCCATTTTATATTGACACCTATTAAATTATGGCTTGCATCTATTTGTTGTTATTTTTGTTTGTTTTTTTAACCTTTAAAAACTTTCAGTTGATAGCAAACTACTGTGAGGACTGAAAAGAGGTATATGGTGGGAAGTGGAGAAACTGCTTTTTTAAATTGTGGCTGCCTCTTAGCACCCCACTGAAAACTAGAGCATCTCAAAGACTTAATCACGTAGACTTTTTCTTCACCTTGGCATCAAAACTACAACTTACAAGTCAAGCTTTTCATCAGCATTGAAGTTTCTGACACTTAACATCTCATCTGTTGCCTCTGGGAATAAGTCAGCTGGTGACCCCCTCATGTCATAAAGTTCCTGTTCTTCTCATTGTCATCCTTCTCCCAGCAGCAGTTTCCCAACTGGTGACCCCTTCATGTCATAAAGTTCCTCTTCTTCTCAATGTCATCTTTCTCCCAGCAATCTTACTCTGCTGAGAGGGTGTGGCATAAGAAGGAAAAAGTTCCCACTTTCAGGGAGCTCAGGCACTACTTTTGATAGCATATGCAAGGCAAACTAGTTTGCTAATAAGTCTTTGTCATTGCTTTGCTTTCCTGATTTATATGTGTGGGAGGCTGCTGCTAATCTAGTTGAAAAGGACAGTAAGAGAAGACAAAAGTCCTTCCCCTTACTGAAAGTATCTACAGTGACTTTAATTGACAGTTCTGTGTGATATGGAGCTCTTTTTCTACAGTATTATTTAAAACCTACATGTTCCTTTCAAGAATACAAGCAAAAACGGGTAATATATGAAAACCAGAGCCATAGCAGCACATGCTAAGGATATAAGTATTTGCATCTCCCATAATATGAGTTTTTAAGCCACTAGACCAGAGGAAATAGGACTTGATAATTGCTAGCATTCTTGTGAAATGAAATACTGCAATTAATAAAATAACATTCTCTCTAGATTTACAGGCTTGCTTTTCCAAACTCTGAAGAACTGTTTGCAAATAGATATTCAAGTCATCCATATACTTTTGTTTTAGGACCCATTTGTACTACCACTGGATTTTGCTTTCAACCACCCAAAATATACTAACCCAATCTAAATCAACCTAATAGGTATTTCCATCATGTGTCACACAACACAAAATCCTGTATTTGTGGTTTGTTTCCTTGTATTAAATGGCATTTGAGAATCAAATTGCTCCATAAGTATAGAAGCTATCTCCCTATCCTCTCTATCATTCCATTCCCTCATGACTTCTTCCTCACCAAGTTTCCTGTAAATGTTGAAAGTCTAGGTAAGTAGAATCTTGATATACATTTAATAAGGAACACTAATTTTTCCAGTAATCATAGTACAGTCATAAAACATGAATAAGATAAACTTAAGTCCACATAGATTTGTGTGAAACTGTAATTAGATAATTAATGTGCAATGATTTATGATTTTTTTTTGTCTTTTTCCTTTTTACCGGTACCGGGGATCGAACTCACAACTGCCTGCTTGCAAGGCAGGCGCTTATGCCGCTGAGCTAAATCCCCAGCCCCCGATTTATGATTTTCTTACTTTATAATAAACCAAAAATGTCAGCAGGTACAAAAGTGATTCTTTTCATGCATTCCTGTCTGTCTTGGGTTTCAATTTCACTCTATTAAAGCAAGTGCTTTTTGTTCTCTATTATGGAGCAATGCAAATCTCTAAACTATAGAAAAAGTTACTATTAGAACAGACTCAAATTCATTACAATGCCATTTTAGAAATCCTTAATAGTTCACTATTGAAATGAAAAGCTGTCCTATCTTTTTTGATGTAGTTTATCACTAACATGATTCAATTTGAAGTAGATTTACAAATGCAAATTAATGAAAAATTTTTGTGCATGCCACTCTTGGTATCAGTATTAGATCCAAATGTGGGGTGGGAAATGGGACAAATCTGGGAAACGGCTATTTCCTTTGGTGTCTGTACTTCATTGACTCAAAATCCTTCCATTCATGTCTAAGCTAGGTAGAATGCCTTTTTCAGTTAGATGCTACTTTATAGCCTTTCACTCTGAAGATAGATGTTAGGGTTTACTTCCCAGATAGAGCTATTTTGGTCTAACCAGAGAAATCAAAGAACAGGTATCTCAGCTATGAGGTACTTTAACGGTTTTCAGAGGATTACAATATTACTTTCTTGGTGATACTATCTTCCCTATAAATCAACCTTAATATGGTACTCCATAATCTCTGCTGTTCTCTTTACTTTAATCCCATTTGTGTAGTAGTACATATGTATAGAAGAAAAATGTGGATTGTATAGTGGGTAGAGGACTCTGAACTCTGCCACTTCACCTTACTGAAGAGCTTACACAGCAGCCTTTCCCTTAGTTTTCTATTGGATCCTGATCTAGATCCCCAATCTCCCGAGCAAGCGTACTGCAAAGGCTTAAATAATATGAGACAAGTGGTCTGATTTTAGGAATCCAGGAGGGTCAAAACCCTTCAGCTAAGTTCGAACTCTGAAGGCTAAGACAAAGACTTCTCTGAACCGCCGATTTTTATTAGGTCCACAACACAGAGCAGAGAAACCAAGGAAAGGTTGGGCAATGAGCAGGACCTTGGCGTCACTTCAAGGATGTCTTCAAGTAATAGATCATGTCAATTTAGGAGAACCATCTTATCATGAAGACATGGTGGGAGTAAGACTGTAGGAGTAATTCCTGCAGCTGCAGTCTGTATTTACTTAAATGATGTTTGAGCCAAGTGTCCACAGCTGTGGCCTTGTCTTGCCTTTTGAGGTATCTCTGGCCTCACAGGCCACTATAGGCCTCAGCCAGGACCAGTGATTCACAGAAGTTCACTTACAATGAATCAGCTCCTATTGCCAGGCAAAGGGCTGAGGCCTAGTACAGACTCACAGATAAACATAGAAAGCCAATTAGTTAATTTTAAATCCTGCTCAGAGCCACTTCATAGTGGTCTCCAACAATTTTCCTTACCCTTATTTCATTATTAGCTAAAGAAATTGGTAATTCTTTTTCCTGAATTATTTGGAGGGATTTCAGTAAATTTTTCCCCTAAATCTGTTGTATTTCCAAGGACTTTTGATGTCATGAAAGATCTCTGAATACTCCATATCATGTAATTATTGAGTTTTTTTTATATTTTTAAGAAGAGATTATGCGTTCTTGCCCAATTGGGAGGACAAAGATACTTTTTGGATGCTAGGAAGCTACAGGACATGTCTCAGCCTCTGGATCTTCCTGCCCTGGGATCATTTCCCTAGAAGGAACATTATATAGTCTTCTGAAAAACACAGTGACTTTCCCAGGATTGAATGACATGTGTGTGAATTAAGAGTCAATCTCTACTTACCTTCTAATAGTATACATTGTAGTTAAGTATCTAGGAAGCTATGACTTTTCCTGATGGAGTAAATTATACAATATTTGAATTTACTGATGTCAAAACTTGTTATAATCACCTTTCCAGTAACAGTTCTGATGGTAACTGAAACTCAGTCTCCTGAGAAAAAATGAATTCACAGAAATGAGAAATTCCATTATTGTTCTCTGTGCAATGACTTTGAATAAGACACAGTAAATCCCTCATATGACATAGGCTTTTAAAGTTCATTTTTCTCAAGCAAGTCATTATTTTATTTCTGTTTTAAATAATGCCCCTGCAGTACATGGGAGATGCTATGTTAGCATCTGATTTTTCTATTACTTCTTAACTATCAGTGATGACACTAAATAGCTCACTTTTAAAAGGATCTTTTATTTAGTTTTAATGAAAACTTAACTTGAAATAGAAACCATTATTTTTCCTTATAAAAGGCATAAAAGAGAAGGAAATTAGAAATAGTGAAGAAACTACAGCATTAAGAAATCCATTTGAAATATGTATAATCTCTATAAATGAGAGCAATTTTCACCAGTCAGCTTTGGTTATTTTCCTGTATGACTGCCTAGTAGGGGTGTGATGTAGGCAATAAATTGTTAGCTCAGTGCTAAGGAAGCTCTGATGGGTATCAGGTGGCCTTTAAATGAATGCAAACTGTTCCAAAATGCACAGTTTTCATACTAACTTTTTAAAAGTGCCTTTTCCAATATTGATCTCAATCATTTCCAGTGTGCTTCATGCCTTTATGAATATCTGTTTATGTCTGGAATCACTTCCCTTTAGCCTGAAAATTTTTCTGCAGCATTTCCATTGAATAGTCTCTTGGTGATGAATTCTTGCATTTACTTTTGCCTGAAAATATCTTTTCATTCTTTAAACAATTTTTTCTGAATATCAAATTCTTAATAAATAGATATTTTCATTTATCCTTGAACATTAAAGACTTTGTTTCACTGATTTCTGCATTTTATCATTTCTAAAATAAATCAAAATATTCAAATTGTTTTTTCCCATACATAATCTGGTATTTCCTTTAGCTGCTTTCAGGAGTTTCTTTTTATTCAATTTTCTTCAGTTTGACTATGATATTCTCAGACATGCTTCTTTCACATGTACCCTGCTGGAACTCATTGAGCTTTTTGAATATGTAGAATGATGTCTTTCATCAAATTTGTGATATTGTCAACTTTTATTTCTCCAAATGTTTTAAAAATCATTCTCTTGGTCTTTCATTTATATGTAGACTAGACATTTAAACACAATCCCACAACACTCTAAAGCTCTGTTATTTTAAAAATTGGATACCTTTATATTATCTTCCCTTGATATTCTCCTTTTTTCTGTCATCTCTATTCTACCTTTAGTCTCATCCAATTATTTTTATTTTGGATATCATATTTTTCAGTTTTACAATTACCCGTATATGATCATTAGCTGACAAGGAGTTAAATCAGCTACTAAATCTATGTTCAGTGATGTAAAAGAAATATGTTCACTATGAATGAAAAAATAAGAAATCTCATTAGAAGAAGAGAAACTTTTGAAATGATTCTTTTGTTGTTTATTTTTAGAAAGAATAATTTCAAATCGTTTTAATTTTTCAGACAAAAGTAACATTGGTTCATTTTTAAAGTTTCTGTCCCTCTGCTGAGATTTTGTATCTTTTTATTTATTAGAGGCATAGTTCCTTTACATCAGAAGCATAGTCATAATAGATGTTTTAATTATTTTTCTGCTAATTACCACATCTGCTTCATTTCAATGTTAGTCTCTCTTGATTATCCTTTCTGTGTTGGAAATGGGTCATCTCATCCCAGTTCTTCAATATGTCACATAATTTGGGGCATTATCCTGGGTAATATATTATGTTGTAAAGATTCTGGATTTGGTTGTGTTCCTCCAAAAACTATTGACTTTGTTTTCTTTTGTCTTAATGGTTAATTTACTTGGCTGGATTCAAGTTGGAAATTCTGCCTCTTGGATGGCAAATATCAGTTCAGCTCATTGAACCTTAGCTGTATTATGTAGGATCTTCTGCCCTTTCATGGCCAAGGAATCATACAGCCATTCAAATAGATCTTATATAGAGAATTTAAATCTCCTTCTCTGGTCTCTCTCTCTCTCTCTGTTTCTGTCTCTGTCTCTGTCTCTGTCTCTCTGTCTCTCTCTCCCTCTTCCTTCCCACCACCTTCTTTCTCTGGCTCTTTTGCCCCAAACTTTGTTCACAAATTATTAGCCCACAAACACTGTATTTTCTATTATAAGTTTAGTACTCTGTGGGTAACTAACTAGTCCTGCTCTCAAACTAAAGGGTCTTTACTTTGAAAGTCAGCTCCTCTTCAGAATATTCCAGTTTTGGTTCATTCTCCAATGATATCAAGTAGTTATGGGTTTGATTTTGTTCTAGTTATTATCTATAAGAGGGTTGGTCTGGTAGGAGTGTACTCCTAATAGCTTATTTATGCTATAACTTCTAAAACTGCAAAAAAAAAAATCCAGTAAGAGTTATTTTGAATAAAATTGTATAAAGGGAGAGGAAAACATATAGCAAGCATCTGGGCATGGTGGCACACCCTATAATCCCAAAACTTGGGAGGCTAAGGCAAGAGGATTGTAGTGAGATCAAGACCAACCAGGGCTACATAGTGAACTCAAGGCCTGCCTTTACTACACATTGATACCCTGTCTGAAAAAAATAGCAAGCATCAAAATTAAAAAGTCCAACATGAGGAAGTTGAAAATAGTAAAACCTTTAAAGTCCAGAATTCATCATGAGTAAGAAGTGATGAATCTCTCATTTCCAAAAGTACATTCTAACATTGGAGCAATATAAGAATCATAGACTGTTAGGGCTTTAATTCTAGGAAGAAACTCAGTGCACAGAAAAGTGTACCCTAGTATGTTTTCTCTAGTAAGACTGATTAGTCTCAACGTGCCTTTTTGCCTCTGCCTTAAGAGTACTCTGAGAGTTTTTAATATGTTCCCCAAAAGCTACTTTATCTTATCTTTAGTTCATTTTTTAAAATACTTTCAAGGCTTTCCCACCTAAAACACATACCTTTCAACCTTAGGAAATTCGCAACATTCATAATGATGAATTAATGGGAATCAGGCGAGAAGAAGAAATGGAAATGTCTGATGATGAAATAGAAGAAACAACAGAAACAAAAGAAACTGAGGAATCAGGTAAAGATAATTCTTTGTTTTATTTAACAAACATCTATGTGAAAGGGCAATATTTCAAACCTTTTACACGAAGTACAATATGATGATTAATCCATCAGACTGGATACCAACTATAAATAATTGATAGGCCACATAAGTATGCATTGGCTATCAACCTTGTTTCTACAGGATTTTCTATTGTTTTTATTTACCCACATCTTCCATTGAAGTACCTAATTTAAGGCAGACTTTCTTTTCCAAGAAACACTTGATACTCAGGCAGAATTGTTATATATTTCATTTGGATTTATTAGTAATATGTTCTACAATAGAAACCAAGAGCAAGCCCATGCATATGTACTATATCACATACCAAAATTAATAAAAGGTGGGTGTAAGATTTAAATATTAACAAAATGCACATCACAAAGAAATTATGAAAAATGTAAAAGTTGATTATATACTTTGGGGTAAAGATTCTTTTATGATTCCAAAAATCATAAAAGATTTTTGACAAACTTATCTCCATAGAATTAAATATTTCTATTACAAGTTACAAGGATAAAACAGTTACAAGGATAAAAAATAATCTACAAACTAAAACATCTACAATCTATGACAATGTACCTATCTGCTGCCTTCCATTATGGTTACTTGAGAGTATATATTGAGAACCAGAAAGGGGCCCACAAGCAGTTGTTTAGATAAATGCTTTTGCTTTTTGGCCTGATTTATACTTAGGACCTCATTGTGAGACAGAGGCCACAGTGAGTTCCCAGTGTTACTCCTAGGGTAAACATTTTGAACAATGGGAAAATACCTTTCAGTTTCAAGATATACTGTCTTCCATGGTAGATCCCCATGGAAGCAAATGAAATACCAGCCAGAAGGCCAGTCTTTTCTGGCAAACCATTACTGACAAGCTTAGAAGTTAGAAGTTGGATCATAGAAAGGCACAGTGAAAAAAAGCATTGGACATAAACTGAGAACACTTGAGTTTCTGTCCCAGTTCTGCCCTTCTTGACCTGACAGGGACTTCTTCTCTAGTGAGCCTCAACTTCTTTGGTTCCAATAGTTATATATTGAAATCAAAAGCTATATACCCACTTGAGTTGTCTTAGTGAAAATTATTACTCCATAAAAAAGCCTCTCAAGGAAAGAAAACTGACAAGTTTGACTTTTGTAAAAGGCATTCATTAGCTGTTACATCAGAATTTTCTCCATTTTTGCCATATATTAGATCCTAAACATATAAACTGCTATCTGTAGTGAATACGTCTTTGTAATCAGTGATTAGTGAGCACTTTCAGAACAATGAACTAATTGCAACAAGTAAGTACTATAAACTTATAGCAAAAATAAACAAAATTCTTTAATAGTAATTGAGCTATTCAAATTATTTAAGTGCTTATTTAAGATGTTTTATAGCTGATTAAACTTTGACTTGTAGAATTATCTCCCCCTGGGTCTATACACCAGATACAGTGTTTATCCAGTGTTACCATGAGATAAATGCAAGCATGTTTGATCATCCACTTGATAAATTGCAGAGTTTGAGGAGTTATTGGGGGAGGAAATGGGTATGTGGGAGAGTCAGATTGAATACACTTACTAGGGTTGTATAATTGCATTTTGCTTCTGTATCTCTTCTGCGTTAAAAGCTGTGTTGGCTACTGCACAGAATCTTATTCGTTTAGAGACTGGAAACTCCCTGACAGATCATCTTATAGCTATTTTCTTTCCTGTTCCACATGCCAGGATGCTGCTTTGTCAAATAAAGCTATCTACAATAGACTTAATGGACCTTACCAAATAGCTTTTCTCCCAGAAGGTTTCAATTCATTTTAATTCAAGGACTTTTGTGCATTTTTCTTCCTCTCGATCGTATCTAATTCTGTTATCTCTCTTCTGTGGTACTCCACTGCAAAAACCCTGCTCAATGTGAGCCAGTGAGAGGGTTCTGTTTTTGTCTAAATTAGCTACATGTTGTAGCTATCACTCAGTTCCAATTAAAAGCTTAAGCAACTAGACCTTAGAGTTGTTCTTTCTCTGCACTACCAAACTTGAACCCTGGGAACCTAACCTATAATGTGCTTCTGATTATATTTTTCTTCCCAAAGAAAGTAAAACTATTTATCTTTTTGTGGATTGCCCAAAAATTCTGTTCTTCCAGAAATTCCATATTAGTTCATATTTGTGATATAGTACTTGACGTACCCTTGCTATAGAAGAAAGGATTGCTTTCTCAAAGTGTTGCATTGAAGAGGGAAAATCACATCAAAGAAAATCATGACATGCAAGGTACATGTATCCAGCAATCATAAGAACAGCATTTCCATTTCAGCATCTACTTTCTGCTTTCTTCACTTAGACTCAGAATTGGTGTACTGTACTTAAGAATCATTTGAGTTACATTTAAAATTTTTAGACTTTTGGGATGCAGAATTTGATATAGTAAGTCCTTAGTGATGTTCAGGAATCTGCATTTTTTTCAAGCATTCTAAATGATTTAGATGCTGGTGATCCAGGAAATATGTATAGAAATCATTGACTTAAACTAATTCTCCATTGATCTAGACAAGGCTTTCTCTTCCTTTAGCATCCAATCTCCTTCTTCCTCTTTTTCCCACTATTTTCACTTTCAGAATTTGACCAGTTAGTTAGAAAACACTATGTCCTATAAATTGATGGAGTTATAAATGTAAGTATGTATAGATCCACATAAAATATAAGAAATGCCTTTTGGTACTAACCTGGAAATTACTGATTAGAATACAACAAAAGCAAAAGATACCAGTGTGGACCAGAGTGCTAACAGTCAGTGAAAGATGAACAGGTTTGGATAAGAGGAGGGAAGGTAAAAAAGCATCTTTATGGGGACAAGTGGATAAGCAGGATGGAAGATACAAATAGCTATGAAAAACATAGGAGAGATCAAAGGTTTAGTAGGCAAGATGGGACCAAAATCTGGTCGGGCAATGAATGCTAAGCTTAGATTCAGCACAGTAGACAATGTAACCCTATAAACACATCTTGACTATGGTCCTAACATGATGAAAGCAGAATCAATTATGTATTTTGGAGATAATTTTGGTTTCAGAGAGACCAACCAGAGGCTTTTATAGGAATCAAGATGTAGAATGATATGGGTAGAGTGACAGCAACAGGAAGTGAGAAACAATGGTAGAAGAAAAAGAAGGTGATGGAATGTATGAAATTAAAGTTGCTAAGAATCATTTTGAGAGCAAGAGACTAAAGTCTTTACTGTGAGAATAGATACAAGCAATGATGACAAGGAAAGAGTCTGTAATTAGGTGAGATTTTCTAGTCTAGGAGATTTGTGGATTGGTGGATATGCTGGTTCAATAAAGCTGCCATAAAAAGTACCACAAATGGTGAGACTTAAATCACATGTATTTACTATTTCACAGTTCTAAAGGATAGAGGTCCAAGATCCACATGTCAGGAGAGTTGGTTCCTTCTGAGGGTTATGAGGAACAACCTGTATTATACCTCTTCTGTAACTTCTCTCATTTCTCAGCAATCTGGAAATCCTTGGTATACAGATGCATTACTCCAAACTCCACCTTCAAGTTCATGTGGAATACTGCCTGTGTGCATGTCTTTCTCTATGCCAAATTTCTCCTTTTTATAAGGACAGCAATTATATTGGTTAGGACACAACCTAATGACCCCATTATAACTTGATAGACACTGTAAAAATTACCCTGTTCCCAAATAAGGTCACATCCTTTGCGCTAAACATATCAGTTTTGAGAAAGGCAGAAGAGCTGATTTGGATGGACTGATAGATAGCACTGATGTGTACAGTGCTCTGAGTTTAGCTTCATTTCACAGGTAGTTAGGAAACAGGCAGGAAGGATTTATATTCATATCAGAGTTGAAGAAAATAGAAGGAATAGAAGATGGTGGCAGAGAAGTATTCATTACCTGAAGCCCTGGGAAGGTGGACAAATGAATATGAAAGCCAAGCGAAATAAAGAAAAGGGATAAATATAGAACTTTGCTGAACTACCAACAATATAAAAGAATGAAAGGGAGAAAGTTAGCATAGAAGTTAGAAAAAGAGGATTCTTTGAGAATTGTGTTGTAAAAATCAAGAGATTTTCTAGAAACAGGAAGTAATCAACATTATCGGATGTTACAAAGAAGAGAGTAATTGAGAGAAAGAGTGTTGACCAGAAAATATGTTACTAGAAAAATAGAAGTAGGGACAGAATACACCATTAATAAGAAAGTATTCAAAGACCTAAAGTCAAGAAGTTGGGTAAGGAGCAAAATAGAAATACAGGTATTATAAGTGATAAATAGAACTCATAAAATGAGTTAAAGTTAAGTAGTTTTTTGTTGTTCAATAAAAGGTAAAGATGCCATAAGGAATGTGAGGCTGAAAATGTTAAAGAATGAAAAAGTACTTACGAATAATTATAGAAGTGAAACCCTGGAACAGAAAAATGGAAAGTGATCCAAATCCAGAAGGAATTTGCCTTATAAAGAGAAAAATATTCTTCCTCTGAGTTAAGAGAAAGCAAGCTGGAAGATATATAGATATATATATATCACTCAGGCTTCTCCATACAGTAATAGACTGATCATCCATTGATTGTAGAAATTATTCAGAAATGAGGCCATGATGAATGAGAAACAAATCTGGAGTAACTGCTATGGGCTGTATGGAAGGAAGAAATTAGTGAGAGTTGAGAGACCCATCAGCATGGACCAAGATGAGTCTTTGTGGCTCTAGCTACTTACTTCTACAACTTCCTATAAAAATTGTCTGAAGCCAGGTGTGGAGGTGCATACCTGTAACTCCAGGTACACATGAAGCTGAAGCATGATTTTAAGTTTGAACACAGCCTGGGAAATTTAGTAACTCAGTCATTTTATTAAAATATAAATAAATAAATAGGGGCTGGAGAAGTAGCTCCATGTGAAGATCCAGATTCAGTCCCTAGTACTAGAGGAAAAAAATTCTCTGAAGCCAATGCCCAGGATAAAAC